ATCTTTTCAAAGTGGAAATGATGCAGTGATTTCAAAGTGTCTCCTGTTTCTTTCTCCCTAGGAACCGGACTTTGAGGAGCTCAGGGTTAGGGATGTCCCCTTGCAACAACTCCATTCCTCAGCCCTTGGTATTTGTCCTGGCTGGAATCCCTGGCATGGAATCTTCCCATGGATGGTTCTCTGTGCTTTTTTTCTTGGTTTTTATTATCGCAGTCATTGGTAATGCTACCATTTTATACATCATCTGGAAGGAGAAGAGTCTTCATGAGCCCATGTTTCTCCTCCTAGCCATGTTATCAGCGGTTGACCTGTCCCTGGTCAGTGTCACTGTACCCCGCATGCTTGCTATCTTCTGGATGGATGCCAAAGAAATCAGCATCAATGCCTGCCTCACACAGATATTTTTCATTCCTTCCTTTTATGTCATGGAATCTGGTATCCTCTTGGCCATGGCTTTTGACAGATTTGTGGCTATCAGGAGCCCTCTAAGATATACAACTATCCTTGATAACAATATGCTTGTGAAGATGGCACTGACTGTCCTGGCAAGGGCAGTGGCAGTGCTGACCCCAGCACCCATCCTGACAAAAAGACTGGAAAGGTTCCAAACTCATGTTATTGCTTACTCCTATTGTGCTTACATGGCTGTGGTAAAGATAGCCTGCGGAGACATTTCTAATCACATTGTCTACGGCCTCATGGTTATTATAGCATCTGTGGGATTTGATCTGTTTTTCATCATTCTGTCCTATGGGATGATTCTTCATGCTGTCTTTCGTATACCATCTTGGGAGGCACGGGGTAAAGCTCTTAACACATGTGGCTCTCATTTCTGCATCATTGCTCTCTTTTATTCTCCTGTTGTCTTCTCTGTCCTGACACAAATTTTTGGCTACCACATGGCTTCCCACATACAGATCATCATTGACAACTTATACTTCCTGGTGCCTCCGATGGTCAATCCCCTGATATATGGGGCTAGGACTAAGCAGATTCGGCAACAGGTGCTGCGTATCCTCCCCTGTCAAAGAGTATGAAGATCACATACTATCACTGACACTGAGATGTATACCTTCAGTGGACACTATAGGTTTGTGAATGTAGAAATCATGTTAGATGGGAACTAGAGATAATTTCTCTCAGATTTGTGGGTTCCTTGGTAAAGGCATAATCAAGGCAATAGTATGATTCAACTAGTCAGTATGGGATTTTAACTAAGTAATGCTCCATCTATCATGATGTAGCTTTTCTGATAATAAGAATCTCAACAAGAACTATACCAAATGTTTATGCAAGTAAAAAAAAAAAAAAAAAAGGAGAAAATACTATTGCTTATTGGCATAAATAATGGACTAATGGAAGCACATCACAATATTTAGAAACATATTTTCAAATGATTTGACATAAAATGTAATTCAAGTATATGCAGTCAAGAATTATGTGAAAATATTCATCCAATGATGCATTCCTTTTTAATGTTTTTCTCTCTTATTCTGGTATTTTAACAATAGAGAATTATGTATCATGGGAAAAGATTATTGTTGTTGTTATTAGGTGCCAGCCAGTTGGCAACAACTCATAGTGACCTTATGCACAACAGTACAAAACATAGCCCGGGTCTTGGACCAACCTCACAATCATTGCTCTGCCTGAGCCAATTGCTGCTGCCACTGTCCTAATCCATTTCATTGTGTGTGTGGTGGGAGGGGGTGTATTCCTCTTTTTCTCTGACCCTCCACTTTACCAAACATGATATTCATCCTTCTCCAGAGACTGGTCCCTTCTGATAATACATCCAAATATGAGAGACGAAGTCTGGCCATTCTGGCTTCCAAGGAGCACCTGGCTGTACTTATAACAAAGATCTGTTTGTTCTTTAGACAACCCATGTTCCTTTCAATATTCTCCTCCAACACCATAACTCAAATATATCAGTTCTTCTACTGTCTTCCTTATTCACTGTTCAGTTTTCACATGCATATGAGGTTACAGAAAATACCATGGCTTGGGTCAGGTGCACCTTACTCCTCAAACTGACATCTTTGCTTTTGAACACTTTTAAAGAGGTATTGTGCAGCAGATATGCCTAATGCAATCTATCATTTGATTATGTGACTGCTGCTTCCATGAGTGTTGATTGATCTAAGCAAACTAAAGTCTTTGACAACTTCAATCTTTTCTCCATTTATATAAATGTTGTTTATTGGTCCAGTAGTGAGAATTTTTGTTTTCTTTACATTGAGATGCAACCCATACCAAAGTAAAGTATAGTAAATATTTTGAGCACTCTTATCTGCATATTTTTATTGTTAACAAATTGTTAACAGATCTTTCTTCTTTCCTCATGCCTTTTTTCCTTCATATAATCCAGCCTCTCAGATTATTTTCTCAGTATACAGATTGAATAAGTATGGTGAAAGAATACAACCCTGGCCTACATTTTTCCCAATTTTAAGCCATTCAGTGTTTACTTGTTCTGTTTGAACAACTGCCTCTTGGTCTATGTACAGGTTCCTCATGAACACAATTAAATGTTCTGTAATTCTCATTCTCCTTAATGCTTTCCATTGCTTGTCATGATCCATACAATCAAAATGGAAAAATGGAAAAATATAGTAATGTAATAAAGACATAAACATCCATCTGTACAGGAGTATCTTTTATTTTTGAAGGGTTTTGATATGGAAGGGGTATCTTAGATAGTTACTACTAATACCATAATGTGGCACCGGCTTTATAATAGATTGAACCTGAGATGTACACATTCTTCAAACGAAAAATTGGAGACCTAAAAAAAATGACTATGTTTTCTGTAGCTTTAGTTTTCTTTTCTATCTCCTAGCATCATCTATTTACATCTATTCATGACATAAAAAATCTGTCTCTTAATTCATTAAATATGCCTGAGCTCCCAAAAACAAATTGTAACATCTTTGTGAATCACTTTTCATAAATACTTTGCATTTAGGTTACTCTAATCTAGCGTTGTAATTTTCTTGCCCACTAACTATCCCTTAGAATTCTTCATCTCAGTTCATTTGACTAGAATTAGTAAATCTGATGTATTATCCTGAAATGCCCTTTTATTTTTATTTCCTTCCATCTATTCCTGGTGTGGCACTGTAGGATAGGCACTGGACTGCTAAAAAAAAAAGGTTGGTGTTTCAAACTCATCACCCACTCCTTGTAAACCCTATACAGTGTTGCTATGAGGCAGTAAAAGGGTCCTGATGTGATACTGTAGGATAAGCACTGGTTGGTTTGAACCTCAAGGTCAGCAGTTCAAATTCACTGACCATTCCTTGGAGACCCTATAAAGGGTCGCTATGAGTCAGAACGGACTCAATGGCACTTAACAATGATAACAACAACAACAACAACCACAAGGAGGAAGCAGGGCAACTGTTGTTGCATGGAGGGGATTGCAATCATTAAGAGTAAGCAATCATTGAGAAGTGTATGATTTGTTGAATATAAAACTGATGAGTATGTCTATAAACTTTCACACAATTCACAATAAAAAGTTACTGGAAAAAAAAAAAAAAAGATTTCAAGCCTTAGAAAATCTATACAGGGTAGCTCTATGAGACAGAATTGACTCTATAACAGTGGGTATAATTATATATAACAAGATATATATATTTCATCCAAATATATTTCTTGTTTGGAATACTCTTGTTTTGAGAACAAAAATTCTTTATGGAACATACTTATCAAGTAAATTTTCAGCAAAAGTAGTTACTCATTTACATGTAGTCCAAAAAAATCTCTGTCTTAAATAAATATCTTTTTCTCTATGACATGTTAAATATTAGATCAGTGCTGAATGTCAGGTTTCAAAATAAAAATCTGAATTACACGCCTGCGGATATCCTTGGTCTTTACCCCATAGATGATAGGGTTAAGAGCAGGGGGCACAAGTAGATAGATGGTAGACAAGAGAATGTGGACATAAGGTGATACGTGACCAAAACGGTGGCTAAAGAAAGAAAAAAAAGCAAGGATATAAAACTCAAGAAAGACAACAATATGGGCAGTACAAGTGTTGAATGCTTTGAGTCGAGCTTCCTTCTGGGGAAGATGAAAAACAGCTTGGAAAATCAGAATGTAAGAGATGAATACAAACATCATATCAAAACCTAGAATTGCAAATGCCACAAAGAGCCCGTATGATTTATTTACATGGACATCTTCTGCAGCCAACTTGACAACAGCCATGTGTTCACAGTAAGAATGAACAATTACCACAGAGTGGAAATGTTGCAATTGCTTGAGTAGAATGGGTAAAACGCCAACTAGCACTATTGCCCGGATTGCCACCACCATCACCATCTTAACCAGACAAAAAGGTGTGAGGATGGTTGTGTGCCTTAATGGATCACAAATGGCAATGTAACGGTCAAAGGCCATGGCCAGCAGGATGCCAGACTCCATGCCCTGCAAGGCATGGATGAAGAAGAGCTGGGCAAGGCAGGCATCAAAGGACATGGAGCAAGAACCAAACCAGAAAATGGCCAGCATCTTTGGAGCAATGGCTATACAGAGGCCTAGATCAGTGGCTGCTAGTACTGCCAGGAAGATGTACATGGGTTGATGCAGGCTGCGTTCTGTAAGGATGATGATTAATAAGAGGGTATTCCCCATCAGTGCCAACAAACACACACCAAAGAAAGGAAACCCAATCCAAAACTGCACATGCTCTAATCCAGGGATGCCAATCAAGATCACTGTTCTGGGGTTCTGATATGACACGTTGCTGAATCCCATGGAGGCTGGAGAATTCTCTCTTCACTGCTGATTCAGATATCTAGTTAGAGAAAAAGAAAATTGGTGGGAAAGGAGAAGGGCAATCCCTTCATCATTTGTCGCAGAACATGAATGAAAGTGTGACCATGTGACCTTGAATATTTGGGCTTTATTTCAGGGAAATATATAAATACTGTCTTACAATGGTTTGTTTCATAGTCAAAGCATGTGTCTTTGGAAAAGGAATATGGTTAAGTGTTTTATCACTTATAGATTATAAAAATAAAAACTTTTATTCTAGAAGTGCTAACTAACCCTGATAGTTTCTCAAGTATCTTTCGATTGTATCAGAGATGACAAAATTATTTCTTCCATCCATATCTATCTTCATACTCCAGATTGCTCCTGAGAAATTAGGATGACAAGACTTTGTCTCGTATACTATGGACATGTTATCTTGAGGGACCAGTCCCTAGAGGAGGACCTCGTACTTGGTAAAGTAGGGGGTCAATGTAAAAGAGAAAGCACCTCAATGATATGGGTTGATACAGTGGCTGAATTATGGGCTCAAACATAGAATGACTGTAAGGATTGCACAGGACCAGACACTGTTTCATTTAGTTGAAACTAGAGTTTGAATCACCTTGATGGTACCTAACATCAACAACAATGGCAGTAGTTGATAGATACAAATCTTGATATATTACCTTCTGTAGCCACAAATATTAGTAGGCTATGGCTAAAAAAATTAAGTGATATTTATATGAGGGAAGTAGTAGATTCTGATATACATATGATATATCTTTAAGAAAATATGTATACATATGTTTTATATAAAAATATTTTAATTGAGATGGCATGAACTAACAAAGCCAGAGCATAAAGGATCTATAAAACTAAACATATCCTAAATAAATTCAAAAGTTGCCTAAATATCTAAGGTTAGAAGTAAAGTTAGCTCTAGTTTGTCCACAATAAAGGAAAACATTATAAATCAGATTTATTATTTTTACACAGCTTACTAAGTAAAATCATAGGATTTGGACTTAAAAATGCAAAATATAATTTAAAGACTTTGTTTACCTCACATGGAAACTTACCCAAATTCTTTAAATTTACTTGTTTATAATTTGGGGACAATAATATCACTTTTCTCATTTGATTATTTGTGGGACTTTCCACAAGTTATGGAATGGTTGAGCATCCAACATATGATAACCAATATTTACCAGAATCTATGGAGTGTTGCTATGAAGATACACACTATGGCCTTTTTAAGATGTAAGACAAATGTCAGAAATGATGGAACTTCTTGAGGAAAGAATTGATAAAATAATCATCTAAGGTCAATGATGTTCACCATTCTGATCCATACAACATTCTGATTCATGTAAACAGGGACATATAATTATCACAGCAGAAGCAGGCTTCCCAATCATATGTACACACTGTTGGATTCAATAAATATCACCTATTTAAATTAATTTTGCATCTCCAACTGAGAAATAATTATATCCTGTTTAAAAATTTAGTGTTGTTGTTGTTAAGTGCCATCGAGTCGGTTCCGACCCATAGCGACCCTGTACAGAGTTTCCGAGGGTGTAAATCTTTACGGTAGTAGAAAGCCTCATCTTTCTCCCGCAGAGCGGCTGGTAGTTTCGAACCGCTGACCTTAAAGTTCGCAGCCCAATTCATAACCACTACGCTACCAGAGAAAAAGTTTAGTGAGTGCATGGGAAAAGCATTACCAGGAATACTTAATAGGCTAAAAATATCTTCTATGAGAACCAAATTATATGTTTTGTGCAACATTGTTTTTTATGGTTCTCAGATTAGAAATTGTTCTTTCCTAATCTCTACATAGGGAAGTAGAAGGGAATAGGCATTATTTAATGAAGATAAAATAAAGTATAGAAATGGAGACAAAAACACAAGATTTTAATGCCACTAAAACAGAGAAGACTGCATTTGAGATTAGAGCTGTGGTATCTGTTGCTATGGATCATTCACCAAAGCTGTTCAAGGCAGTAGGATGTAACTATCTTGTACCTGCTCTTCATATTTTATAAGCTCCCCTGTTCAAACTGTACTCAAGTGTACATATACACATAAAAAACCACTCACACAGAAAGACCTTTCCAAACTGCAGATGATGTCTTCTTAATTTTACAAAACAAGCATTATTATAATAACTTTATAGATGAAAAAGAGCTTGGAAACTTTAATCTGGTCTCATTTTTGTCACTAACGAAAGTATGTCTATTCAATTTTGCTCATATGCAATTAAGAGGATGGTACTAGGTTACCTGTGAATCTCTTCCAGCTCCAAATGTCGTGACTCTAGTCTGTCCCTCATTTTGTTCATAAATAAATCTGGGCCCAGAAAAGGTACTTGACATGTCTAAGGACATTTTTTGTTTTGTTTTTCTTTACTGAGAATTGCAGGATTACGATTTTCTAATTCTATGTCCTTTCTACTTCTTCTGAAACATTACTACTAGTAGAGATCCTCAACCATATTCAGGTTCCAATTCACTAGAAAGAAACTCACCCAGATAGACAGAATAAAATAGCTGGAATATGATAGATGGAATATAAGGACAATGGATGAAACACTTTTCTGCCAGGCTTTGGATTTAGGGATGATATTAATAGTTAAATTGCTGTCATCACTAGCTTTCAGCTGTTGCTGTTCTTGGCTTTTAGATTATGAGCCAATCCCAAGATAATGCTATAGACCTGACCCCTAGAGAAGTCTTTACACCTTAGAGACACAGACTCCTTTGCATGAGAAAAGTAACCTATATCCATACAGCCAGAAAGCAAGAGATGACTAAAGAAAGGAATCAGGAATTCTCAAATAATGATTTATTTTTTGAGATTATTAGGAGTGTGGGGAAAGAAACTCTGATAATTCATAGAGTAGAAATATGGAATGCAGTAATTTAGTCAAATCTCTGGTATATAGCCTGGCTAATATGGTGCTGCGTGTTAATGCATTGGACTGCAAGATCAGTTTGAACTGTAAGGTCGGTGGTTCAAACTCACCAGCTACTCCTTGGAGACCCTGCACAGGGTTGCTATGAGTTGATGGCACTTAACAATATAGCTTTAAGGGGTGGTACTATAAGGTAAGGTCGGCAGTTCAAAAGTACCAGCTGCTCCTTGGGAATCCTAAACAGGCTCGCTATGAGTCAGTATTGACTTGACAGCACTTAACAGCAACTTAACTTAATAGCTGGTGTTACAGGAGGGGGCTTTGTAAAGTTAATGGGGAAAAAAAGAGAACTGAAGGACAATGGAATTTTTTTTTTCTTTCAAGTTTTTGTTGTAAACTGAGTGATAGCTTACATGGAAGAACATCAGCTACACCATCCTTTCATTGCAAAGATTACAATCTCTGTGCATCATCATTCAGCAGTATTTGTTTCCATTGCTTCTGTGTTTCCTAATACTTTTTTTTTTTTTTAATGTTTTATTGTGAATTATGTGATACTTTATGTGGGAGAACATTAGTTTTACATTCATCCTATCCTATATCATTTCATTGCCATGGTTACAAACCCCTCCATGCATCATCAACCAACCAAAGGGTATACCCTACAAACCTGTCCCCCTGATCGCCAGCACACAGCCCCTCTCCCTCTCTGGTTCTAAAGTCCCCAGCTGCTCCATCTTTCCACGTCATCATCTCTACCTGCATCTCTGGCATCACTGCTTCTCTGGGTAGGGTCCCACTCTCTGCTCTTCTCCCATGATGGTCCCAGGGACCTCCACTCCTAGACTGCAAAGATAATCACTCCCCTCCTTGCTACAAAATGTCTACTTTTACATTTCCAACCCTCACAATCAGTACTGATAACAATTATTCATATTGTATCACAAGAGACCTATCCACATTTCCTTTCATCAGCCCCACCTAGACAGATTGGATACAACTCAGTGGATATTCTACCTTCCTCCACGCCCTCTGGATCTAGATTCCCTCTTGAAAGCTTGTAAGCCAGTCACTTATTGCCTTTGTAGCATTCCCCTTTTGGATAGCCAATGTCCAAGTTGCCCATCCCTGTCTACTCTGTATATGGAGGGGGTAGGAATGATCTTTTCTGTACAGATTTGTTCCCTATTTTGAGCTACTGCATCCATAGGTGTATAGGTCAAGTTCATCAAATTTCATCAGATTACTCTTTTTTCCCTCTTCTTTCTTCTTCTAGTTGAGCTCTGATCAAATACCAAGTAGAGGAATTGCTGGATCATAAGGTATTTCTATTTCTAAACTTCTGAGCAAGCACAATGTTGCTTTCCAGAGAGGTTGGACCATTTCCAATCCCACCAGTAATGTAGGAGCATCTCAGTCTCTCCACATCTTCATCCGCATTTGTTGTCTTCTACTTTTTTTTTTTATCTTAGCTTTTATTGCTGGTGTGAGGTGATATCTCATTGTTGTTTTGATTTGCATCTCTCTAATGACTAGTGATCGTGAACATTTCTTCATTTGTTTGTTGGCTGCCTGGATCTCCTCCTTGGTGAGTGTCTGTTCATGTCCTGTGCCCATTTTTTAATTGGGCTATTTGTCTTTTTTTTTTCTTGTAGAGGTGTTGTAGTTTCCTATATATTTTATAAATAAGTCCCTTGTCTGATGTGCCATTGCAAAAGATGTTTTCCCATTCTGTGGGTTCCCTTTTTACTCTTCTGGTGACATTTTTAATTTTTAGTATGTCCCACTCATCTATTTTGTCTACTTTTTTAAAATTTAGTTTTCAAAATGTTTGGTAGTCTGTGTATTCCCTGAATTAGTGCCCTCACATTTGTCCCTATTTTTTCATTGATGGCCTTCATAATTCTGGGATTGATATTTAGGTCTTTAAACAATGTTGAGTTGGTTTTTGTATAAGGTGTGAGGTGGAGGTCTTGCATATTGCATTCTAGTTCTGCCAACACCACCTGTTAAAGAGGCTATCACCTACCCATGCAATATATTTAGGTGTTTTGTCAAAAATCAGTTGGCTATATGTAGATGG